TTTTGTATATTGTCACGTGTTATCATAATGCTAATCTGATTTAAATTTCAATAATTATGACTGAAATTCGACAAGAGTATGTTACTTTTTATAACCCTGTCTGGTTTGAAAATACATTCCTTCGATTATGACCCATTGGTCCGACAAACGCTTAAATTAATTTTATTTGAACCCTAGCTTAAATAAAAGTAAGATCCATGCGGGGGGAGCAATCATCATTCTCCCTTTTTTTAAATAGTGAAAAGCAAATTTACTTGATTTTCTTGTCGAGTGATCAGTTGCAGACCTGATAGGCTTCTTTTCTAAATGTATTTCACCTCTTATGATCTTTCATGACCCATTCCCTTATTTCGCTTGTATATTGAAACGAAATGATGATAGAATTCTTCATTTTCATCTTTGTCATGATATTACAAACATTATATTCACCGCTCTTTTGATGTATGACTAGATCCATGGAAGCCAATGCTTTGTATCGTCTTGATGCTGGATGCTTTCGAGACCTCCATAACCTTTTTATGTTGTGAGTATAGTTGGAAAACAGATGGAGAAAAAAAAACTTTCTACTTGTAATAAATGTCTTGTTTCTAATAAATAATGTCTCTCATTCGTGTTTGAAATCCGGGTACTAAAATTGTTATAACTTCAGTACGGAAGGCGGGGTGAATGGGAGGGGGCAGCAGTGGTAAAATAATGAAGAATTCTGAAGTTGCAGGGGTGCACATCCTCTTTCCGAGTATAATAGAGAAAACGTTGTTTTTAAAAGATAAATAAATATATGTTTTATGATAAAGATAAAGGGGAATTGCATGGGTATCTTTGGTTTTTCATTATTTATTTTTGTTGTTGTCTAGTCAAGGTGCTGTAATTACGACATTGCAAATATTATTATATCGATTACTTAATAACATTTTTTCTAATCATTTACATGCGATAGAATGCAAACACAAACGAAACAAACAAATAAATATCATCTCCAATGCCTGTGCTATCTTAATGATTTGTCATCATGTAAGGAATCAAATTAAACGTAGGATAGTATACCTGCAAGTACAAAATCGTAATGCCATTATAATGAGCGCATGAATAGTGAACAAAGCACATTTTTTGTTGATAAAAGATCTGATGAACATGATGAACTATTTGTATTTTCTTCATTCCAGAAACTTAGAAAGTAACAAACTCACTGGAATTCGTCCCGGTACTTTCAAAGATATCGGCGATACTGTACAGCGTTTGTACGTACAGATTTTTGTTTTAATATGTTGTACTGTAAAATCTTTGATAATATTGAATAAGTTTTTAAAATGGGGGTATTTATGTGTTTGACCAACAGTAGGCATTTTTCACACACCTTATTAGTATTTTCCTATTTTGAAGTAAATATTCTCTATCTTTTAACCTTAATAGACAATTTTTATTACTCAAGTCGGGTAAAGCGAATGCCAAAAGTGGTTCGGACACATTTTATTTTTTTACCCAGTACTTTTTAGTGTACGAATGCTAAGTGTGTTAGATACATAGATTATTTACAGTGAAACCTGAACACAAAGACCACTCAAATAAAACATAAACGAGGACCTTTGTAGGCGGGTAAAGTTTACAAATAGTTGTGTCATATGAGAAAGCAATAAACTTATTTTTCTTTTAAATAATGAATTTTATTCCTCTTGTTACTCTCTCAAAATTTACTAAAATTTTTTTTTTTAATCGTTTCCCAACTTTGCCCACATTTCTTTGTCTAACGAGAATCGAATGGCTTTCCTTATCTGGCTAAACTTTCATAAACTTCATAGATAGCACTTGTACAAATGGCCCCAAATATCCACAGATCTTTAACACACGGAGACATCCCACTTTGTGCATTTTAGAATAATCATTGCCAAAGTGATAGAGATGCTTCATGAATAAATCTTGTTATCCCTCTTGAGAAGAATACTTTCACCTGTATACCATAACATGTACCACCGGTACATAAATGAATGATGATTACATAACTTTCATAAAGCACGTATCCAGCATTCGTCTCCCCGGGTTCTAAAATGTTTGTACAAATGCAGTTTATCTTCCCACGCGGAGATAGAAGTGGCTTATTCACGACCTTTTTATTTGTGTAAATCTAATTCCAATACAATTATGTTGGATTTATTAACGATCAAAATTATAAGCATTTCATCTTTATTTAATGAAAGAAGACAACATAGATTTAGTTGGAACTTTGAGATACCTTTCGAATTAATTGAAGCTTTATTTTGTATTTATTTTTACGCAAATGCCAGGATTTTGGAAGATAATCTGCTCACTTCTGTCAATTCGACATTGATAGAAGATTTTCAAGAACAATTTGTTATGCTGTAAGTACAATTTTAGTAGTTTATTAGTTGTCGTGGTATAGTGGTCCGATCACTTGACTCTAAATCCAAGGGTTGAGGCCAGGGTTCGAATCCAAGCCCGACACAAACATCATTTGGACATTAATCCACACTTGCCACTCTCCACCCAGGTGTCAATGGCTACCTGGCAATAATTATTGCTGGGATAATAATAACTGAGAGCCCTCGAGAAAAAACAGTACTGATGCTGACGAGGCTTTCTTGTGTAAACGAATCGACGAATTATGACGATGATGATGATTATTATTTCTATTATCATTAATTGTTAGTATTATTATCATTAATACTTTTATTAATCTTATAATTATTATCATTATTATCATTATCATCACTATTATCATTATTATAACTATTGTCATTATTATTATCATTATTATTATTATCATTGTGATCATTCGTGTATATTATCATTGTTGTTAGCAGTACATTAGTAAAAATGTGTTCTCATAATGTGTATCTCATCTTCAGACATTTATTCAGAAATATCACCAGTAGAATCGAGGGTTCACGGGTCCCTATTGAGGGGGGGGGGAGATGAAAAGGGACACCAAAAGGGGAGAAAAGAACAAAAATGTTGGGAATTATGAGTTTCCCCATATTCTCTGGGGGAATGCCCCCTTACATACAATCCTATAGCCACCCTTGTAGCAAGTTATAACAATACTATACAATAGAATATATTACTCATTAGTATATACAAACCGAATACATTTGTTTTTATATCTGTCTAGAGTTCTTATCAAGAATCCGTTGTATCTCATCGAACCGGGGACCTTCAGAGGACATCCTCATATTAGAGATGTGTAAATATACAACTTCTACAGTTTTCTTTCTATTTGTAAATATATAAGATATATTTCTCTTTTTGTTTGTAAAAATACGAATGTTATCTCTTTCTCTCGCTCCCCCTCTCTCTCTCTCTCTCTCTCTCTCCCACCCTTTCTCTTCCTCTTTCCATTCCTCCCTAACTCCGTCCCCCTCATTTTTTTTTAACTGTCTCTCTATCTCCTTTAATTTGTTGCTTCCCCTCTCTCTCTCTCTCTCTCTCTGACTGAAGAAATCTTTCTTTGTTATGTTAATAGAGGGCTCGTGGACGAGGGTTCGTCCAGTGACATTGATTAGGAGAGTTTTTCCAACCCGCTTCGAGTTGGGCACAATTATGGTTTATACTACTTTGTTGGGCAAGCACAAAACAAAATGGACGCCATGATGTGACCGGTTGAAACCAAGTTGGCCCAAAACTCTGTGTTTAAATGGCTCTGGTCCCTAACTTCTCCACGAAATCTCTTATAACATGAATAAGTAGGTTGCTTTGGTGACACCTTACTTTCTTCACCTAAAGATTCATTGAGTTTTTAACCCCTTAGGATTGAGTGAAAGTTTCTAAATAACGGGCGTAATATGAGTTGCTATATTATGTTATATTCGTACCTCCATCAAAATTTTGTCGCGACGTTCCATCGAGCAATTAAAACTCTATTTTTGACGTTTTCTCCCTTTTTCTTGACCAGACGTGTGATGTCCCGGTCACCAACTCCTATGCTGCTCTATCCTGAGATATTTGACGGTCTGGAAGGTCTGGAAGTTTTGTAAGTTTTCTGGACAACACGATATCCCAACTTACTTCACCTGCACAGCCCCACATGCACACATTAGATTTTTTCCCCTTTGTCTTTCTTCTAAGTTTTTAATTGGATAATTTCTGAAAAATAATGGATACGACACACTCCATTCTCCTACATAATTATACTCCTATAACCGCGTTATGTGCCCCACCCCATTTGGCTTCCCGGCCGCCTACCGACTCAAGCATTCATGATTATAGTTGGCCTCTGCTTTCAACTTGGTTCCTTGAATTACCTCCATATACTTTCACGTTTGCAGTATCATAATCATGTATTTTTTCATTCTATTTCAGTAATCACATATTATGTAAATCAATTATATGTATTTGAACTTAAATAAAATAATGCTGAAATATCTGCTATAAAAAAATACTTTCGAAAAATCAACCTCAGGCAGCTTTGGTGTCCATGTACGTCACCTTTTGAGAAGTGCAAACATTACAATGATATATTACATAACTCAAACATGATTTCAATGGGACATACAATAGGGTATTGAAATTGCCCTTGAGTTGATTTTCGAAATTAGTTGGGACCATGTTGAGCACACTTTGTCTCCTGTCAGATAGCTCCAACGCGTGTGGATAACTCTCTCCAGTGAGGAAAGACAGTTGGAAATAGCCTGAGTCCAGAAATAAATATTCAAAAATATTTCAGGAGGTTTTCTTGCCTGTGGATAGCTTAGTGTCTCTTCTATCATAGTAATAACACCCGAAGTCTGGCGATACTTTACGCTCAAAATATGAGCAAAAGGCACTTTTATTAAAGGGTGCATAATCCAGACTGGAAATACGAATTGGTAATTGTTTTGGCTGGCATCAGCAAATGGGAGAGACATGTAAAAGGCTTAGAAATATGCATGTTGTGACCATCACGAGGCAGTCTATGAAAGGTCAAGGTTCGTCCTCGGTTTATCCTCACCTATCCTAACATTTAATGCTCGATTATTAACTAATTTTTTTTTTTTAATGAATTCTGGCTCTTATTTTTCATATAATTTTCTTATTAATATTTTGAATAGGCATGTTTACGACCCGAGGCTGTGTTGTCTACTTCCGGCTGGTGTTGAATGCGTCAACCGAGAACCACCCCATCCCCTCTTTACCTGCCGTAAGACCTTCCTCCAGAACACAATCATCAAGGTGTTCATGTGGATGCTCGGGCTTAGTGCTCTATTCGGGAACGCCTATGTCATCTACCGCAGGATGCGAACCAAGTCTCAAAGCACCGTAGCTTCGATTCAGTCCATTCTGATCACCAACTTGGCCGTGTCGGATTTCCTGATGGGTGTTTACATGATCATCCTGGCGGTGATGGACATCTACATTGGAGAATCTTACTTCTGGGAAGGCAGATCTGAGGAATGGCGGAGGAGCAATACCTGTCAGATTGCAGGATTCATCTCCGTCCTGAGCAGTGAGGCATCTGTCTTTTTGATCACCCTCATTTCAGTCGATCGCTTCATCTGTATCTTGTTCCCGTTCAGTCAAAGACGTCTAGGTGTCCTCTCCGCACGTGTGTCTGCCGCCCTCATCTGGTCCGTAGCCATCCTGTTGAGTAGCATCTCTATCGTCTTCAGCTATATCAACACCGATGCATACAGCCTCAGTGATGTCTGCGTTGGCCTTCCACTGATCCGCAAGCACATTGGTCTCTACGCCGCAGTTGACACCTACGGTCAATCTCAGTATGGCATATCCGAATTCTCCATCGTCGCCGGAGCTTCGGTGTCGACCTGGCAGTATTCCATCGCTCTCTTTCTCGGTGTCAATCTCATCAGTTTCATCGTCATTGCCATCTGTTACATCGCCATCTTCATCAGGGTTCGCCTGAGCGCGCGGGAGGTCGGCCGGCAGAAGTCGAAGGCCGCGGATGAGGTGAAGCTGGCCATGAAGATGTCGCTGATCGTCGGGACGGACTTCTGTTGTTGGATGCCTATCATTATCTTGGGTATCCTGGTTCAGGCAGATCTCGTAAAGGCATCCCCGGATGTTTATGCCTGGCTGGTTGTGCTCATACTTCCTATCAACTCATCTCTAAACCCATACCTCTACACCATAGTTGAAAGAGTGTCGTCTAAATAGAAAGCTCAATTTGGTTGCGTCTGATGTACTTCATGTGTGGGTATTAAGACAATTATACATCACTCCCTCTCTCACTCTCTCTCTCTCTCTCTCTCTCTCCCTTTCTCTTTCTCTCTTTCTTTCAAGAGATTAAAAATGTCGTTTTAGCTCTATCAACATAATAGTTTGTATAAGTATTTTTGTGAAATTTTCCGCACACGCTACAAGAATATTTTGTTTTTGTAAATAAACGTATAATAACGAATATGAATTTAAATATCACAAAAAAAATATATATAAAACAATGTAAATAACCGATAAACAATCATGCCTAGATACATACCTTCATATGAGATTGATATACAATCTGTTTTAGATAATCAATATGCTATTTATGACAAACATATTTGATGTATTTAGTTCTCAGTAATGTTGTATATTTGAAAGAAATAACACTGACTGTTGTCAGCTTGTGCTCCTGCAATTCAGTGTTTATCATGTTTATCACATATTAAAATTAACAGAGTTCACAAACTTCTCCTGGTGTCTTACAAACTTGCAGCCTGACTAACACATTCGTGGTCATTCGATATATATTGAAGTTCACTTAGATCATCGTGTTCTGCAGCATGAGTTATGATAATTCTTTTAACAATAATGAACTTTTACACCATATATGTTTGTTCAATTTATTTTAGTTCATAAATGTTTTGGGTAAATGCACTTAGAGTTGTACCTGTATGCATGCATAGTGAGTGAATATAAAGTGTACATTTGTAAATTCATGGTTTTACTTATTATTTTATACATATTTCTTTATTTCTTTATTAATTAATTAATTAATTAATTAATTAATTTATCTATTTATCTGTTTATTCATTTATTTATTTATTTATTCATTCATTCATTCATTCATTCATTCATTGCTTGATTTATTTATGTAATGGTATCATTAAGAGTAATGTAATTATGATGGAAATGTTAGGCGGGGAATGAGTCCCTCTATTTATGTTTTTTTAGAAACAATTTCGTTTGTCTTTTCTAAACGTCGTTGTGAAATAAAGTGTGATCTAGAAAATTGAAAATATTATCTTGGGCATATGTATTCAACATAGACCTGTATGATTGGTAAAGGATCAGCTAATACATTGAGAGCTGTGTGAATTCGAGGAGCGTCGCATGAATGGCGACAGGAGGGGCGTTGACGAGGGGGGGGGGGGGGGTAATTGTCATATTTTTATTGTAAAAAAAACTTAAGAAAAGGATGGCCCTTTCGGAGATATTTCTTTGTGCTGCCAAAAGTTCCGATGAATGTTTTTCTCTTTATCAGTTATTTTCATCGTGCACGAATTATCTAGATCTATGTAACCTGTATGAAATTAATAGTGTCTGCAATAGTTTGGTTAGGATGGATTAGACCTCCCAGCGTGGTCACTGACAGGTGGTTATCTAATCAACTCAGCTCTCAATTAACATAAGAAAAAGAGGATCATGGGGGACAACGGGCACCGCTTAGGCATTGTTTTCTACGTAGAGGGAGCAAGTAGCTACAAGTAGTGCAGTAGGGCTTTAAGGACTCGCTCGATATATCAGCAGCGTTCGAGTCATGCCCCAGTATAGGTACATGAAAGGTCGTTTGGCCATGCTGGCAGGGTAAGCTAGCTGTAGCATGAGCTGGCTGAGAATGAGTCATTGTGTTCCGGTCTATATCAAGCATACCTTGGATTGCCCCCAAGTTTCCTTATTAGTAAAGAAGAAGAGGATGAAAGCGAGTCATGTGGGAGACCAGTCAGTAGAGTGAGTTATGAGGGACATGGGGGTCACCCCACCCCCTCACTCAGGTAGTGCGACGCATCTGCTCCGGGTCAATTTCCTTTCCTAAACCATGTATAATTACTATCGAATCCATACCGTCAACCCTGGGCTCAACACTACTTATATAACCCGAACCCGAACCTAAGAACCAATTACAACCCTAACCTTTATTCAAGCCCTAAACCTAACTTAAACCCAATTAAAACCTAAACCTTTGACGAAATAATTACAGGAACAATATTATCCCTGAAGCAGCTATTAGATTACGCCCCCCCCCCCCCCCCCACTTTGCCAATTCCCTAGAATGCCCTTTTCCCTTGCATTCAGTTTATAAACATTAATAAGGCTTGTAAAAGAGGCTTTATACATTTTTATTAAAACTCCCAAACGTCTTCTCCTCAGACCCCCCCCCCCCCTCACCTAAAAATATTGAGGAGGTCTTTGATGTGTCATCGTCACCGACGGACACAGTAAGGTAGGAATTCCGACCTAGAATTGTCGAGAGAATACGACGGAAAGAGCACTTCCAAGGCCTTGATCGTCAATAGGAACAGCAGAGGAGACGGTCGTGATGGTAGGGTGTATCTTCACCCCCCCCCCCCACAACACTGACACACACACACACACACACACACACACACACACACGCATAACAGAGCTTCATGCATTTTGTAGGACACACCAAGAGCTATTTTGAATTAGCACCGATCTTCGTCAATCTGTCAGAAAATGTGTCGTGCACAACATACTAGCAAGTCTTTGAAATATTTATTGTAACCCCGAAATTCAACCCCATCCCCACCCCGTTCAGAAAAAGTACCTCAAATAATATCAATAAACAATTATTGATCCATTAATCAAATAGAATTTAATATATTTATTTTGAACGAAATAGATGGACATAATATATTGCTTAAGAAAGAAGGGGGAGGGGGAGACAAAGAGGTCGAAAAAGAGACAAACAGACACGGAGAAACACAGTGAGGAGAGAGAGAGAGAGAGAGAGAGAGAAAGAGAGAGAGATATATAATGAGAGACCGACAGAGACAAACAGATAAAAAGGTTCATGCGAGACGAGACGAAATTCATAGTCACTCTGATTTCTATAAAATAATATGATGTTTATTGCACTGAAACATATTACTTTTCATAAAACGAGACTCGCATTCAAGAAAGATTCATTCATGAAGAAAGAATGGAAAAAATTACAAGCAATCGAATGCATATTCAACTACTACCCTGCTTGTCTTTTAACATTTCTCATGTGTCTTTTCTCGCTTTGAATTTAACTCATTTAAAAGATACGTTTAATATATCAAAGTCGCCAGCAATAAGACTTGCACACACAAAAGTCAACTTTTAAACTATTTGCTTGCCAAAATCTTTGAAATATTAACAATTTGAAATCATAATACTTGACCTAAAACAGGGGCCCTAAATGACCTATACCTTACATAGCTATTCTGTATTATGGATCAGGGCTAATATCACATTTCATTATGATGTCATCTTTTGTTTGCCGTTCAATAAAGTTATCAAAAAAAAGAAAATCAATTCTAGAAGGGGAGTTCGTGCATTCTGTAACCTATCTTGTAGTCTCCCTGCAGGTGTTAAGGGGTGAGATCTGTAAGGCGACGAAGAGTGAGGGTGGAAGGAAATACACCATAAAGGGCCCCTTTAATTTGTAATTTTTTTGCTAGAAACATTGACAGGAGACACACTATGTATCCGCTAACCAACTATAAGGGCGGAGGATACAAATAATGAGGTGACAGATTCTTAACCTAGCTCTGAAGTCACATTGGAATCTCAGTAACTTATTTGTTATTCTTCATTTCAACCCGATAGTAATGTCAAACTCAACTCAAAATAGAATGGCTTATATCATTCTGGTAATTGCCAGAAAAGGGATATAAAGTCATGCTACTTTGTACAACTCAGAACTACATTTAATTATCAGGAATTGAATTTCACGAAGGATACTGAAAATAAAATCCTTTTTACATGAAAGTTAGCCTGTATTATTCATACCTGCCATCGATTGAGCATAGGAATCCCACTAAACATTTTGGATGAAATTGGGGAGCATTTTTTCGAAGATCAGTCAAGAAATTTTCCGAAAAACCAGCCGAAATTTTCCAAGAAGCAAAAGAAAGAAAAGTATTAATTGTTTACATTTCTCGATAAAGGCTCTAATAATTACATGTATAATATATTTGCCAACATTTCCTGTTCGAGCGAATCGAAGACCGCAAGACTATTTGATAGAAAAAACAACATTTAAATGTCAAATTCAATTGCCCCACTGGGTCTCCCTTGTGAAACAAAAAAAAAAGAGTCCAAGGGATCAGGGATTTATTTCCATTTAAAAAATGTACGAAATCTCTCTGTGGCTTGACAATTGTCTAAAGACTAGCAATTAAATATTTCGCTCTCTCTCTCTCTCTCTCTCTCTCATAACAATGCCTCAACGGTAACCACTAAATTCCGAAACAAGGAACCTTGTAAAATCACCACTACAAAGGATATTAACTCACAAAAATTCACATCTCATTGATTTTTCTAGCTGTCATTTTTTTTTATCAGTCTCTAGCGATCAAAATTGCGGTTGTGGTTAGCCCTGTATCAAGGAATATCAATGTAATTGATATAAATTTCATTTTACCAAGAATACGGAAGCAACAAGATGAAGAGTGACTGCTAAATGCGAGTTTATCTGTCCAAGTTTTGATGGCAAAAAGATGTCATTGTCTTTTACACCAATTAGTAATAAACATTAGACTTTCCATACCATAATGATAATTGCGATAATGTTCATATACAACATCTAACCAAAATTCCAGCTCAGAAACGGTGACATTATACTTTAAAGGAGGATATAATGTGTAGCCAAGGATGCTGTTCAATCAGCAGAATTGATAATAATGTAAACGATTACAGACTGATATACCTGATACCTAAGGCGAAGGTTATTCCCAACGATGTCATCGACTTGATTCGTTCATTGCATACTTAATGTAAGATATAATGGCGTCACTATGGGGGTCACTGGGCACATACCACTTCTGAATTTCTAACAAAATAGAAAGAAAATGGGGAAGAGAGAGGGAAACGAAAGGGAACGAAATAATTCGACCCCCTTCTTTGCCTCCCGGACCCCACTCTATGGCCTCGCCCTCTCGCACTTTATACACGTGATATTTACGGTGCCCTTCCCCAGTGGCCCTCGCTAAACAACTGGTAAAAAAAGTCAGTACAACGTGTATTTTTGTTTGAATATGAGCACAATAACATCCTTTGGTAAATACCAATATTCGTAAGTATGATCAATAATATGCCTTGAAGGTCTCCCTATGCGTAACCTATTACAGTAATAATGCAACTAAAATGTTGTCGTTGTCAATCCATGGCAAGTAATGAAGTTCGACATTATGGTCCACACTCTAAGCATTCACCAATCGCAGAAGATATGAGTCAATATGATGTGATCGACGGTACAACTCGCTTCCGTATGCTATCTGTGTAACCCACGACACCACAAAACGTCACACTCTGTTACGATGTGGCACTGTAACATCGGGGCAGTTCTGTTACCTCAACGGTAATGGCTTCTTTGTTAAAACCAAACAAAAACGTTCAAGCTTTGCTTAACGAATTTGAACAGCTGAAGGTCATATCCGCTCGTCACCTAAAGTTGTCTTTATATTCCGCTAGTCCTTACCAGTCTCTTGTTGACTTAGAATACAGTTGTTAAGAATATAGCACGAAAACTCGTTCCTAACTTTTTTGTTGCTTTTAAGTGTCATTTTCTTTTTAGTCGACGTTGGCGATCTGTTTAGCTATCTAAAATTATGGTGATAAGTTTCCTTACTCGTTCTACTTTCTGTGATACAGTAGATATGGTAGTCACCGGTCAGATAGGAATGAAGTTTCCACGGTCGAGGTCAAGGTTTTTTCTTTCAATCACCATCATCCTTTTGGTCTTCGCTAGCCACGATGGAAAATAAGTATCCTGTGTTCATTCTGTGTTTGTCAAACCGTTCTTAGATCATCGACATATTGGATTGGAATGCATTTCCCACTGTCAAACCAAATTACTTTAGAAAATGGTCGTGCAAGATTGTGCATTAGCGTCGTGTGATGTCTTGACCAGTCAGGTATACCTTACGCAAACAGATGATACTCCATTCGAGCTGTATGTCAGGTGCAACCGAATGCGAATGTCTTCAGTCGAGGCACAGCTCTATGATGAACTCTGGACCATCATCGACACAAATTCTCGCACACTGATTGCAACAACCTTTCTTTTCTTTGGGGTTTTCCATCTCAAACGCCTCCCGATTACCTGCCTTGTTATTTTTATTTGATTTCGACCCCTTTCCACCTTTTCCTCCGTTCTGCACTTCGTCGGTCGGAATTCGAGATGACTTTGGCTGTTCCATGATCGGTGGGGTAGATTTAGGAGGTGGAGGCGCGGATCTGAGCAGTTCTCTCTCGGTCTGGGCAGCGATCCGAACAGTATCTGCACTTGTCTGTCGCGTCATCTTCTTGACGTCGGTTCGTGGGTCATGCAAGATGGCGCGCTCCGACCTGTCCGATCGGTTTGAAATAGATCTGCCAGCGAGGGGTTGGGGTATGGGAGGTGGGAGCTGAGAGAGCTTCATCGGCTTTGGGGGAAGCCGTGGAGATCTTGGAGGAACAGCGGGTGTGTCATCAGGAGGGTGGAAGCTCCTAGGTGGGATCCTAGGCGATCGTGGGAGCCTCTCTTCACAAGGAAAGAAACGCTGTTTGGATCCGAACCCATGAGGAGGAGTTAACGGAGGTGGTGTCCTTGCCTGACCGGGTACTCGAAGACCGGCATGACTATGTAAATCCGAATCGGATTGAGTATATGCCAAGTGAGCCCTTCCAGCTAGTGGAGACCTTGGCGGCGTTCGAGGAGGCTTCGATGGAGAAACCCTGGTGAATTTCGGCGAACGTGGAGGTCGAGGTGGAGGACGCTCACCGCCGTATTCCGCTACATTCGGAGTCGAAAAATATATGTCCGAATCGACGCGTGGTTGATCGCGTATAACCGCAGGTACCCGAGGGTTACCAGGACGATTGAGGTAGGAGAAGGGTCGAGTCTCGGCGGCTGGTTGGCTTTCCTCTGCGTAGTAGGACGGTCGTGAAGAGAATCTCGAGTTTACAGCAAGCGCCATGATGACGAGTATCTGGTGGACCTTTCAAGCAAATCTGATGAAAGAGGAAAAGAAGAAAAACAAACGTTAATATATATTCAGGTACCATTCACAGAAGGTATGAACTACAGTGCCGACTCAAAACATTTAGAGTTTTACTTTTACATTTGCAGACCTTTTATCAAAATATGTAGAATTCTTTAACGATATTAAGATTATAGAAACAAATGTATTCTATATTACGTATATTATATTCTTTTTACGTACAGGAAATACGTAAGCCTATTTTGATGAATCAAGATTATGACAGTTTGATCAAAAGGTATCCTTGTTCCACTTCATAAGTTCATAAGCATTTGATTCACCTACAATTTACGCAATATACCTTAATTATTTTGGACAGTTTAGGTCATTCTAAGTGACGAATAATAGATAAATACCTGTCATAGACAAATCAGAGATAATTATTGCGATTTAATCTTGTTAATCCAGGATAATTCTCAAGTCTTAAATTCTCAAGTCATTTCCAGAAACCTTGGAACGAGAAGGAATTGCGTATTTTGACTGTTTGGTAACGAATTTACCTTGACAAAGAGAGACATCAAGGTAAGTGATATATCGTTACCTAGATTTAACGCGCAAGGTTTTGAAGAGATAGCTTGAGAAGAGCGTCAACTCGAGGGTTTCGTTTCTATGGTTACCGGGTGAACGGACGGGAGGAATTAAGATAGACGAACGCGCGTGACGCATCGCTACACGCAGATTTGACCGTGTGATTATCGTCTGCGCGAAGATCACTATAGAGAAGCGAGAGAAATTGTTCTGGAGGCAAAATGACTTCATACCTAAAATTGTATGCACTTAGACAAGACACACACATCAAAATAGTATTCATGTAGGACTGAGCAATACATTTTGTCCAGCTCATAACATTCAATTTCGGCTAATTCAACACAATTATTAAGCAATGAAAATGTATGTCAATATGTTTTCACATACTTTTGAAATAAGCAGATGGAAAAATATCATTTTAATTTGTAGTGTGTTCAAAAACATGAATATTGTCTTCCCTTTTTCTATGTTTTTTTTTTCTCTACGTGCATTTGAAAAATTAGAAGCCAGAGGAAAGGGCTTAAAGGTTGACTAACCTCCAAATCTGCTCTTTATTTCCAGACAGAAATGCTGTTTCTATTTTCTGTTTTGTCTTACCTTACACAGCATATTCATTTGATTCTGCGTCATAGTTAAAGGAATGATATGGAACTTATATACTTCCTCTATTAGCTTCAGCATTAAGGTGATGCTCAACGAGTAATACATGGTTCGCGATTGCATTTCAAAAAGGTTATCTAACGAAAACATACCAATGGCACTGTTTTTTCCCCAGCATTTTTACAAGAACTTTAATTAGAAGTTTTGCCATATACCGGATATGTCTGATGATAAAGCATGATCAGTCGCTCAACTGTTCCTAGGCTTAAAGCCCTTGATGAGAAGATGATAGAGAAACACCCAGAACTTGTTAATGCTAGGGTGTGGGTCAGTTTTGTGGGTGTGGGTCAATATATAAGGGGAGTGGCACAAAATCATCATGACCGCAAACAACAGGCAAGCTGCCGATCATTAGCCAGGACATGTGTTTTCGTATGTTGTCTTGGTCAACGTCATTTTTATTTCTATTTCAAAGCCCCACCCCCAACTCACACACACGCACACACACTGATAAATCCCCGGGGAAGCTGTTAACAACTGTGAACATAACATCACCACATTACACATTACACAGTGCGGAATAGAGAGAGAGAGAGAGAGAGAGGGGGGGAATAACAAATTGCAAAAGTATAAGAAAAAGAGCGGGAGAGAGGAAGAGCTATAGAAATAAAGAACTGGTGAGATCGAGAGTTAGGGATATAGGGGCTGGGGCAACTATAAGCAAGCGCTAAACAAAAGTCTACCCTAGCCGGTTACATCCCTGTAATTCCGCATTCTGTATGCGGCGGGAACCCTCCCTAAAAGACTTCCATTTCATACGACAATATGTATCATTTTCATGAGGATGTCGTTCCGTTTTTAAGTTCCTACACTTAAAAATTAGAAACCTCTTTGTCGACATTTAATGTGATATTGTCTCGATCCCCATTTTCATATGAATTACTGCCATATAGACAGGAGCTATTGTAAGAAAGCTGATAAATTCCAAAATCTTCTGTTTTTCATCACATAGTTTGATGAGCTCGAACCTGTCATCAGGTAGATCTCCCCCACATGATGCTCACAAGGATAGAAACATTGATAGTGTGGCTTTGGTTCAAGGAAATGGTCAATTAACTCAGCAGGATCACCCATAAAGACCTCAATGCAAATGTTCTTAAATGCCTGTCTTCTGCGCACTGTGAGAAGGACATTATATAGTTTGAAAATATGTATGCGTGCTTGGGGTTTTATAAAACGTGCACGTGATATTCCTTGTACTAGCTATATTTGGTAAAAGGGGCGAAAACGGCCTTTAAAAAAAACGGGGAGAGGGGTAAAAAAAAAAAAAAAAAAAAAGGGGGGGGGGGGGTAAACTATTTGGAATACATCAATATAATCCTACTCCCCCAATTCAAAGGAATCCAAAGACCATTCCCTTGAAGACATAAATAAATGTCCTCCTCCCCCCCCCCCCCCGACTGGTCCAAGCATAACTGACAGATTCAGGAGTCGTCACTACAAGTAAGTCCATCCATAAGGTTTACCCTATCTCTGTTTCTACAAACAAAGAGGAAAATAACGGTAAATTCAATGTGGATGCACCATCGAATCTTTCAAAGGCTACTCCAGCCGCATCCATACGAACCCGGTTCCCAGGTCAATGGAGAAAAAAAGGTGGGAGGAGGGAGGGGGGGGGGGGGGGGTAAAGGGATTCCACTTTCATTTTTCTCACCAAGAATTCGTTTAAATTCAAGCTGGAACCATTGCAATGTGAGAGATTTCTCGTTGACCTATGATAGAACCAAACTATATGTATGGGAATAAGAACAGTATATAGAGAGGTAAATCTAATTAAACTTGGGATTGGGGTGGGGTGTACCCCTTTGTTAGCATGAGAGGCACCGTCAACCTTCACAAGTTCCCCTTCACGCATGCATTCAAAGTCAATCTCAATGAACGAGTTAAGACATTCTGGAACAGGTGAACTTGACTTAAAGTTCGGTTAAGGGAGAGACCAGCACCAGACCTACAACAGACCGAACCGTTTTACCCCCGAATGGTTAAGGAATCGGTCGGTTTGGAGTCGGTGAGAGTAGATTTGGCGGTTTAACCAGGCTATAATGGATTAATTTTGATTATGAAAAACAGTCAGTGAATTTCATTTTTTGTACAATTAGAACAAAATAAAAATATTACATATAAAACACATCAAATAGAATAGAATTGAAGGCAATACGCGGATTTTCGGGTCAATTTAATTCACTTGCACAATGTTGCTATGCCAGACAAACACTAATGTCAACAAAAGTGAATCATGCGCATGATTCAGCAGTGAAAGAATGAAATGAAAGTTATGAATGGCAGTGGACCAACTTGTTCATAAGTTGAGAACTAAATTAGGTTTGGCCTGCAGGTGTAGATCTTAATCTGGTTGAGTTCAGTCATAGTTACCCTCCCGTCACGTCATCATCAGGAGCAGGAGACTGGTGATATAAATACGGAGGTCTCATCTGTCTTTGACACCAGTCTCTGACGTCACAAGACACATCTTTAAATATAGCATCACTAGCACAGAAATATCTTCTTCCAGACTACGTCACAATAAGAGTTCAAGACCCTATTTTTAGGTCATTCGATAATATTTAGTTTGCTTCGAGCATATTTCCCAGGGTATAGGAGCCGCGCGGTCAACTGTACGTTATGTCTCGGGGACAATTGATTAAGGTTTAAGATAAATAACTTTTAAAGAAGTGAAAAGCCAGATAATAATATTGTAGTCCTAAGAGATAGCAACACAAACTGTACAGACACTAACACAAACAAAGACAACATCTACAACAACAACGATAACAACAGTTGTATCAAAATCTTGCTTCAGGGAAGCACTGGTGCTTCTATAAGTATGTGGTGTGCGTGTGTGGGGTTTTCGCTCAGTTTTATCAAGAAGTTTTCAGAGATGGAGTAGTATCTGGCTCATTCCCTTTGTACCATCTTCGAAGCCGCCAGTGGAAAATATGTCAAGCATGTGCTTAACTGGACCTTCCTTGCAGATACGTAGACAAAAGATTCCTGCCTAGCTGCAAACTAACGGGCCACTTTCAAAGGGAATGCTTTTGTAATGATAATTACTTTTCGCTACCACTCGTCTGATAATACGAGCAGTACACAGTGCTTACCTTTACAGGAGGCAAGCGAAAGGAAATAGAGCAAAATTTCCTGAAATATTAATCAAAATTACTCGACTGGGCATAAATCTGGCATAAACCATCATAAAGAGCTAAACCTGAACAAATTTACTTTTTATTTTCGTGAGCCGGAAGCGATCGGAAAATTGTCAAATTGCAGATTTTAGGACTATAAATTTTACTATTTTTCAAAAATTAAAGCTAGTATCATGAGTATCATACAATGTAAGCAAATTTCTTGACACAATTAGGCTTTTGTATTCATGTTTTATCATCTGTTCGATTTTCCCTTTCTTAGTTCAAATAAGAAGTGAAATATTAATGATATTTCTTTCTGAGCGGAATCACTACTCAAGCTTTCCAATGATATTGGCGGCTTCGAACCTCGGACATCAAAGGTAACAGCACACTTGTAGATTATATTGTTCAACTTTAGAAAACGGCAGCTCCTTGGAATAATTTGTCGCCACTTGGGTCTTCATCTCTTAAAACTCCTTGGTTAAATTGCTTCCGAAGCTATTTCTGCTTGTTGTCAGTAATCCTTGTCGAGGGCATTTAGGTATGTTCATACATTATGTAGTGGGCTTCGTAGAGGAAAAATAAGAGTAAAAAGAAATTAAGAAGCTAACATTTTAATTAACGCTTTCAATATTACAAGCATGAAAAAGAGACATAAATCTAAATAAGCATTTAGGCGTGCGAGGCATGGGGAGGGGGGTAAGGCTTTGGTCGCATATGGGGTTTAGTTATAGGGAAAGGGTTACAGTATTGAGTCCAGAATTGAGCCTTTTAAATGGAGTAGGAAATTTTTCACGTAGCAATATTACTGTTGCCGGAATATAGGCCTATACCTTAAAATATCAAATATTGCGCGACGGTCTTTTATTCCTAAGCATCAATAATTTGAGGAGCCCCAGGAGAGTCAAATCTGACAGACATGGGCGCTTATAAAAGAACCCCTAGAAACAAAGAATTAGGCGCATTATAAATGTGAGCTATTATTATTATTATTATCATTATCATTACTATCCAAAGTTTCGATAGAAAGCATTTATTAGAGTCAATAAGGAATGCAACCTGAATACATGCCAACAAAATATTTTAAGCCCGATATTGAAATACATCGATTTGAAGGATAAAACACCTAGAAATTCGAAGAAACGTGTCGTTGGACAACCTGTTGATCATTCAATGTGATTCCTGCCAAGCCATTCTCTTATTTTTAGAATAACATCACCCAAAACCCCGCCAAAATTCTATCACTTGGTTCTCTGAAAATCTAATTTAATATGCGTATAGGGTGCGGATGTAACTATGACATTATTCTGAATCTCAACCACTTACAGCTACTTATTGAGGGGCACTTCTATGTCCAGGTATATATAGATATCATGTAAACAAACACAGCTTGCATTGTCCAATATTATATGAAGATAGATAGTAGCCAGCATTTAGGTCGATGTGGGGGCATTATATTTGCATTGAATTTTTTCCGGTCCAAATTCCAATGATTGACATTTCATTTTACATGTATTATTTGTTATTTTATGACTTGAAAGATACCGAAAATTTTCCACCCAAAAGAGACGTCTCTTTTATTTCTTTTCTTCTTTTTTTTGGGGGGGGGGGTGGGGGGGGGGCTGCGCAATGGACTTTAACGTAGAGGAAACAAATCCGAGTGTAGATTAAATTAAAATGACCCCAGAGACATAATTTCCGCATATATTACTCAAACTATACCAACACGAAATCGAGAGGCGGGCCATAAATCACACACCCTTCTCTTTCGCAAAGCTCCTGCCGTCATGCCAAATTAACAAAAAAATTCTTTAAATTCGGATAAGAAACATCCTAAACTTTGACTCATCAAGCTCATTCGAGAGCCTACTTTGTGTTACATTCCGTGTGGTACAAGGTCTCAATGCATACGCGTGACTGTGGGCCTCGTTTCATGTATAGCTCTACAGCATAAGACCCTAGATTAAATCTAAATACCACACTGTCAGCTCTATGTTCCCAAAATAATCATACACTTTTATTTTAAGACAACACTATCCCTTCTCAGCCTCATCCTTTCCTATATATTTCAATCATAATCAACCAGCCTCGTGACTTAATGTGACTGACTGGCACATTGTAAAGTTTGCTCATTCCCAAAATAATTTCTGATCTATTCTAAGCACACAAAGAGTTGTGTTTTAAATAAAGAGGTACAGTGACTGAATCATAACAGTCGCTGTGATATAGTCATGAAGATATTATAATTGAAATCTTATCAAACAAGCCGTCCATACAAAACAAAAGCCCACCATGTTCATAATAGGGCCTACATGTAATAACATTATATTGCTTTTATAACGTATTATTAGTTACAATGGTTGATCAGGTAGATCGGACAAGTGTTTGGGGGGGGGGGGGAACTCGCTCCCTCCACCCCCCCCCCCAAAAAAAAGAAGCTTGATATGAATTATCGTAGGCATGCTTTCTCCCGCCAAATGTGATATTTGTTTATATTCTTCAAATATCTTCTTACGTGATAATATTCTAACTTGATTAAGACAAAAAAAATTCAATTAGGAGTTACGAAAAAATAAGGTCCCCTTGATTGATGCTCGATATCACTTTATTTTTTTCTTTGCATGTGTTTTGATCTATTGCAAGTCATATGACTAAATTTTTTCCGTTTTCTTTTCTTTTCGCAGATATGTTCTAGCTTGATAAATTAGGAAATACGTATAAACAAATCCACTTGGTGCTCTATCACTTTATCTTCTACTTTGCAAATGTTGTGATCTATTACGACTCACAGATGTTATTTTTGTTTTAACGAAAACGAAGTTTTCATTGATGAGATAAACTATGTTGTTGCTTGATTACAATACTGTTTCTTGTATTTTGTTTTAACAACCTAGCCTGTCTTTGACTGATCATGTTGAAACAATATCTAGTACCGGTAAATATTTAATCAGAGCTTCGTAAACTGTAAACAAAATACTCAATACTCTTGTCATATCGTTGTTTAAAAGAATAATATCAAATATATTACAATGACAAATTTGAAGATTTTCTACTGACGAAAGAAAATGGAAGACCTGTGCACAGTTTACAAATTCTTACCGAGAACAAAACAAGAGTGTAGGATCCACGTCTGGCATCAGCAATCCATTAGCTAACAACGTTTAGCTAATCATGAACAATTAATTATTGTGCTGGATAGGCCTTCATATCATTAATTGATAATATAGTCAATTCACCAGTTCAAATAAATGTATCGTCACCCTGGCAGCGACATTTTGTTGTGATTTGACGAATGCAATGAAAGAAATCCAGATGAGTCTTCCAATGAACGAGTATCAACAGTGACTATTGCGACTTATCAAATTTGAACATTGTAAATAAAACGCAAAAAAGTGATGAATCGTCCGTCTAGTGATGATTTTAACTTTTGTTTTCTGTTTTTCTTGTTTGTTGTCGATAGTTGCTTTAAAAAAATGTTCAGTGTTTTTAACCTGCAGCGTGATATAGATCCAAAGCCGAAAGAAAAACGCTCAAGAGGGTGCAAGTCAGATCAAATAGTTTCTCCTCTATAGTCTAAACAAGTATCCATTGGCAATCATCAGCAACTCGAATATGATCACAACTTAAAAAGGTGTTAACATCAAGTCGTTAACGTTAATGACTGCTAATAGCGAAACCGTCTATCCCATAAAGGCATGCGTGTAACGGTTATTGCTCAAACAAGGGCGTTGCTCCATTCCAAAAAAAAAAAAATGATTGGCGATTAACTTATGAGCAGTCCTTAAATTTAACCGGCGATATGTTTCTCGCAGACAGTAGAAAAGACAGCCTCACTGAAGCTTTGTCGGCAAAAGTGACTTCATATTATGGCAAATCCAGTAACATGTGCTTACGCTTAAGTTTGTTGCTCAGTTGGTCTATTTTCTTTCCAGTGAGACAGAGGAATATGATACATATGAAGGTGTGCAGATTAACCGAGGAGCTATAAACTCGGTGTAGCTCACGGATAATATTGCTGCGATGAGTTGTCGCCGAAAGAATTTTAACAGGGAGAGAGAGAGGGAGAGAGAGAGAGAGAGAGAGAGAGAGAGAGAGAGAGAGAGAGAGAGATGAGGGTATAGGAAGCCGGTAACTAAGAATGAGTCATTGGGAATTATCCGGGCTGAATGCGAGACATGCGAAGGGTTTGAGCTAGAGAAGGGGATGTTACGAACCCCATTGTTGAGTTTTGGAACGAGTGAAAGTACAGTGCAGGAAATAGATAATAGCTCAGACAAAACTTATGAAAGGTATTTATAAATTATGGTTAGACGGTAGACACTTGTTATGTAATCATCATTACGGATGTTGCTTATCTTGTTAAGTATCCTTAAACGCTACTTCAAATATTTCTTTCCTGCCATTTCATTGTTACCTATATACCACGTCGTCTTATAGAGATATTGTAAACATTAAATATAACCTCTATTGTGTCATTATGTTGTACACCACTATCCGATATCCTAAATTTGCTATGGCGGGCAGACCTTGGGAAAACATTCAGGTCGATACGTGGATCAGATTTGGCTATGTTGTTATAAGTATTTGTTCTATAGGGGGCACTTTCGATATCGAGCTTGCACTGAACAAACCAACAAACCAACAAAATCGAAGACCATTATATTATGATATATAATTTGACCGAATATAAAAAAGTTTACAGATTATTCGTTGCAGCCCGCGACAAATTTGAGCAGTGTGTAGGGGTGAAGCATAACGATGGAGGTATATAACATATTTCACTGGTATGTACCGCAAAACAATTTTTGTCTCCAATTATTCCACGACTTCTTATCCTCGTTATAATAGCCCTTTGAACAATACTAGAAGAATTTTTAAAAAGAAGAAGAAAAGGAAGAAAAAGAAGGAGAAGAGAAGGAGGAGAAGGCGGAAGAAGGGGGAGGAAGATGAAGAAGAACAAGAATAAGAAGAGGATGAGAAAGAAGAAGAAGAAGAAGACGAAGAACAAAGAGGGAAAAGAACGATTGTTCTGCACCCACGAACAGACAAAATGTCTGTTCTGGAAGTTGAACTAAAATATATGCATTCTATTTCGATGTTGCAATATATTATCTATTTTCTGTAACATCACCCCCGCGTCTGTGAGCAAGTGCCACTATTTATTTGCCTCTAATTTATCTTTATGATAATATCAATTCGAAAATCTGGATAGGTTAACAATTATAAGTCAATGCTGATGGATGTAATCTGTCCGCGTTGACAGTCATTGGTAAATATCAAACTATCAAGGGAACAGCACTATAAGCAGCCATAGTCTGCAAGGAAAGGAAACAATTATGTTAGGGGTCGCCCCCGTTTCCTCAACTCGTTTAACCAATTCACCCAAACCCACGTTATATAGGGCTGTACACCCCCTCCCTTTGTCCGCCCATCAGCATCTGATCTCCGTTACTAAAGATCGGAAACTTTTACTCAGTAAAAAACAAAAAACAATCGACCGTCATATTCTATCAACATCAGGATATAAGCATCACGATCTTAAAGTTCAAAGCTAATGTTTAGAACTCTTACAAAATTGTGATCTTCGTATTACAGAGGATCTGAAGAAATTGATTATTGAGCAAAAGGATAATACGCTACGCTTTGATGCGATATATTTGTACCATTCCTGGAAGACATGAAATTACAAAGATGATAATCGAAATTGTTTATGACAATGAGTGTCATACAGTAATTAAATTAACTGTTCAGTTCATCACGGACATACAGGCATAATTTTATAGAGAAGGTGTGGGGGGGGGGGGGTCATCCCTTGCCCATATATTCACTGTCAATGTTTTTGTTTTTGCAAGTTTGTGCATGAGACGGTGTCTTTAGGAGAAGCAATATACAGATAATGATATAGCACGATAAGAAAGAGCCAAAGAAAAAAATGGGGGAAAAGTGAAAAACAGTAAAGACGTATTACGAAGAAAGATAAAAAAAATATTAAAAAACAAGGTAAAGAAACGATTTAAACGACGAACAAAATGAGGATGGAAAATAAAAGACGGAGAAGATAGAGTCTAATGTTTTGCGAAAATCCACGGCGCCAAAAAGTCAAAACCTATGCACTCTCATTTAAAGTTTTGATATGTGGGTAATTTTAAAACACAAGGAGGAGGATACTTTTATTCTGGGTTGAATTTTAAATGTTGGTAAGGGTAACGACCACAAACTTTAGAGTTTTATGCCTTGCTTCCGCCCGCCAGCCTTCAAGCTTTTGTTTTATCTAATGAAGAGTTCTGGCATCTGTTTGCAGACTATCTGACGATTGGAAGTCGTTGGCAATTTGATCAATAAAGTAACCCTTAACATAATTTGACCGATTATGGTTTTATTTTCAAATTAATCCTGACAGTCATGAATTCGAATAGATAATTAGCGATCAACTCCTTCCTTACTCCCTCAACTCTTCCCCCTTCTTAACCCCATACCGCATCCGTTGCGTGTCTAGCTCTTCCCCTTTAACAACTTGCCACTTTTCCATATTGCTGCCTTTTTCGGAAGTTATTTCTTCCTCCGTTAGCCTCTTGACTCAAACATCTTTGTCAATGACTAAAAGATATCTTCTTTTTGACAATTGTTTTCATCAACGTGTTTTCAAAATTCTTAAGGACAACAAAGGCAAATATTGAAGGATTTACTTAAAGCCTTGGTCACAAATGCCATTACGAACTGCTACGAACGCCGTGCGAAGGTTTTTCAGACAATGGAAATTCGGGAAGACAATGGAAAAACAGGGAGATTCGTACAAAATTATCGTTTGTACGAACCTTTGTGACCGTAGCATTACTGGTCTAAAACCCGAAATTCTAATTCTAATGAACATAATTATCATTATACATGAATTTCTGAAATATGAAATAATGTAATCGTGGGGACTTTGCGACAAGTAATGATTACTGAAAAGAAATACATGCTGCTGTTTTAGAGTTTGCATTTGGTATTAATGAAGATAATATCTAACAACTGTAAAATAGAGTCACGTAATAAACTGTCAGTGCTAATTCATGTATTTTAGAGGATATTAACTTGGAATTCCTTTGACAGTGGTTTCCTCACTATATTCACATATAGGCTATGTTTGAAAAGAACCGAAAATCTTGGTCGAATCCAATGATGTTCGCCAAAAATGTAATATTATGTGGCCTATAGGTTAGATTAGAACGAAAAAGTGTCAGTTTTTTTTTTCTTCTTGGTACATGTTGTAATAGTTTCACTTAACACACTCAAACTTTGCGGTACCATAAGCATCCTACAGATAAAAAGAAAGGGAATGAAAGAATGAAAGAATGAAAGAATGAAGAAAAAAAGGGAAAAGAAAAGAAAGAAAGAAAGAGAAAAAGAGATGTAAAGAAAGAACGCGACAGGGAAAGAGAGGAAGAGAGATTTTAAAAGGCTCAATTTTTTTTCTTAAGCTATTTACATATTATTTTTGTTTAATGGCTGCAAGCAGGCAAAACCACATCCATAAGGGGAGGGGGATGTGTACTCTCGTACCGCCCTTCAGTATCCCCATGGTTGCGGTCATTGTCTTGCTTTCCCATTCGTTTCCTATCTCACATCCCACTCCTTTATCCATGCCAACTTTTCGCCATTACCTTCACTACCTTGTTCATGTTTCATTTCCCTTCGGTCCAAACAAACACCAATTACTAATTGTATATTCTTCGAAAATGAAATAGGAAGAACTCGAGAAGGGCATCCCTTGCCCCCACCCCCCTTCCCCTCATGGGAAGTGACACTCCCGAGGGAAACATTAATTTTGTTGATATTTATTTGACATCAACCACGACAAATATTGTTCTACAAACAGTGATGACAGATATTTGATGGGATTTGATGAATAAAAGTAAATTGATGATAGAGAAACGCAGGTTAGAGGTTTTATGTTTATTCGCATCGGGTGATAAATTTATGTTTGATAATATTTGTGTAACGAGTAACAACAATAGGCGAGTATGATGAGCTGTCAACTTAGTAACACCGAGAAATGCTATGTCATGTAAAAGAATGGGATCAATGATATGAATGTTATCAATACACGTTGTTTATATAAGGACGGCGACGATATGATGACAATGACTGATGATAATGGCGATGGTGGTGCTGGTGTTAGCGTTGATGGAGACGATGATCATTGTCTCTTTTTATTTCCTTGAGAGAAAAACTTCTAGGACGAATCGAGATTGGGGAAGGAAAACTCTTACAAGTTCTCTATAGGATTGCATTATTCCAAGGGATCGAGTCGCTGATTTATCTTGAATCCCGTTCTCATCTGTCCAGCTATTGATCAGTATACTTATATATATCTTCTTCCATTGGCGGATCCAGGGGGAAAACGTGTAAAAACACGTTAATTTTACCCCCCCCCCCCCTCTGGCGCTCAAGGGGGGGGGGGGGGGTGCGGTTTTCAAATTTTCGAGGGCCAACAAAAAACATTAGTGCTCACTATATACGGTACCCACTGCTCACTATATCTCCTCGATCCTCATATTTCCTTCTTTTTTCTTCTTGAGCTTAGCCTAATTTGTGTGTATGTGTGTGTATTGGGGTTTTACAGACGTGTATCAATCAGATATGATTATTTACGTCTGGGACCGACCTTTTAACGTCACCATCCGAAAGACGTGACTCAGTTTCGAACCTGCGTCCTCGGCTGAATCAGTTTGTAACTTCCACTTTTTAGCTGGATTACAGGTGCACGCCACAACGCCTAGTTGTGTGTGTGTGTGTGTGTGTGTATTTGGTTTTTTACAGACGTGTATCAATCAGATATGATTATTTACGTCTGGGGACCGACCTTTAACGTCACCATCCGAAAGACGTGACTCAGTTTCGAACCTGCGTCCTCGGCTGAATCAGTTTGTAACTTCCACTGTTAGCTGGATTACAGGCGCACGCCACAACGCCTAGTTGGAACCAAAATTAGTAGTCTTGGTTCAAGGATAGGCTGTGCGTAAATGGTTCGTAAATCTACTTTTCATTTTCATATTTCTTTAGTATAGGCCTAGCAATGTCTCGAATTTATATGACACTTAAATCATGTTATTGGCTTCAATATGATCGTGGTCATTTTTTTGACATGCTGGTGTGTAGAACTGCAAATTTGAGGTTTTTAATTTATAAAGTGACGTTAATGTCAATACACCATATATATTCTTATTTGTGTAATAGTATTGGCCTAATACGGTACAGGCATGCCAATATAATTTTAGTCGCACAATTACAATACAAGCTAGTTCGAAATTGTGACTGTGATCTTGTGGAATATAGTCTTATCATTTGTTAAGAGCTAGAAGAGCGATCATTATATGTATTGAATTATAGTCTATGAGTTAATCATCTTCTGGCTACAATTTACAAACATGATAATTTTAAAACAAACAAGAAAAACAAGACAATATTAATTATTATAATTAGACCTAGGCCATACATAGGAGCATCACTATCCTGGCTGTGTAGTAAAAGGTGTGCTTTTGATTCTCAACATTTCAAACACCACTGTACAAAACTCAACTGATTTCACTCAAAATCGGTACTTTAGAGTTTAGTGACAATTGATGACACCTAAATAGCAGTAAAATACATTTTTTTTTAACTTACTGATGTTAAAAAGAATTATTGAAAAATTCAAATTGTAAGTCTAGTGTCAAACTTTGCTTACAGCTGCATCGACATGATTGTGTAGAGTCTATGCGAATATTGTGTGGTGTGTATATTTGTGTATGGGTATAATAATACCCGCCTCACAGCAAGCATGCAGTGCTAGAGCCTAGAGGTCAATACGCATTAGCATTGACTCTCTATGCTTTGCTGGAGTGTAATTAGGCCTATATCATATAGTCTAGTCTGTGCTTATATTAAATATAGTTTTCCTTTGTTTTCTTTTCTCCTCAACTCTACAGTGAGGAAGCTAGAACTCACTGAAGCCTGTTTAAGCATTTTAACTATATGCTTGAAACCAATGAATGCAGCCATCTCCAGTCTACCCGAGTGTTTTATCCAAGGGCTACATTCAATTTTAACTAAAGAAAGGCTCATTCCTATACTACAATGTCAATGAGAGCTGTCATCTTAAACAATGACTTTATTCATATGATCTAATGAATATTTAAAATAACAAGATGCCATTGATTAGACGATTGCCATCGTTGTCAAAGAATCTATCAAGAGTTCTTCTAAATCATCAGAGATGTGAATCATCTACTCACTCCCTTGCAACAAATGGTGGTCATGTTGAACCCAGGAGCAAGGAAGATCATTATCCTCTTTGGATGGAGGAGGCAAGTCTCTATGTTCACTGGCCATACTGTCAGAAACGCTACACCTACTGCAATTTCAACAAGTACGTAACCCCAACCATCGATCAAAACCGGATGAGGGCCTGCTTGGTGAGGGAAGCCCAGACCTTGATCAAGCTTAGTGGTGTCAAACAGGTCAACTCCATCTTCTTTGGGGGAGGGACACCGAGCCTAGCAGAACCAAGAGTACTTGAAGGTGTCATTGAAGCAGTCAAGGAACTTGTTGCCATGCCAACGGATGTTGAGATCTCCATGGAAGCCAACCCAACGTCAGTAGAGATGAAGAAGTTGGAGGATTTCAAAAGTGCTGGTCAGTAGTAGAATTAATTTTCTTATTAATACCTTGGTCAATTCGACTCCAATTTATCTCCAAACTGATCATTTCTTGGCCTTTGGAAGTAACATAAATTGTTGATCATTTTGTTGTTAGTCTGATAGTGGTCTTTTCAGGATTACTAGGGTACCGGTATCAACCATTTTCCATTATCGTCTTGAACCCTCTCTCTGTCATAGGCAGTTTCGCCTGCCTAGGTTTATGATATTGTTATCTTGATAATGATAAAAAGCTTGTTTTTCTCTCGAAAAGGTGTTCATAATTTGTGAAGTTCAATAATTTTTGTTCAATATGTCAAAATGAACTGTAATGAAGGACTTATAGCTTGGTATCTGTGATGTACAGATAACATAATATGTAATGGATTTGAAACTCGCCAGTATATTGGCAAGCTTGGTGGCACAGTGAAGATGAAAAATTAAGTAATGTTTATTGTAATCCTGTAAATTAAGACTCACAATAGGGGTTGAAAAAACTGGATAATGTGTAAAGTACATGTATGTCAATAAAGAGATTCACTTTATCAGTTAGACATACATGTAATAAAGCATGGAATAAATCATGGAAATTTCTTTGATGATCTAGAGTTCACCAGCCTTCACAGTAATCACATTTCACATCATATTTGGTGTTTAATTCAACAAGATTGTAAATAGCTTTGATAGAAATAGATTTTCAATTCAATTTTTTTTCTGTGCATTTAATTTTGTTGTATTTTTATTTCTTGTATTTTAGGTGTGAATAGACTGTCCCTTGGCATCCAGGCACTCGACAGCAATGACCTGAAAACCCTTGGTCGTGAACACACCGTCGGCCAATCACTGACCTGTATCCACGAGGCCAGGAAACTCTTCCCAGACCGCCTCAGCATCGACATCATCTTTGGCCGACCTTCTCAAACACTGAATTCTTGGGAAGCAGAACTCGAACAGATTCTACAAGTATGTGACAGCCATATATCATTGTACCAATTGACTCTTGAACCAGGCACTTTGTTGTATAAGTTTGACCAACAGGGAGTTCTGCCCATGCCAGATGCAGATTTAATTGCTGATATGTATGAAACTGCTGTGGAAAGACTAGCTCAGGCTGGTTTCCATAGGTATGAAGTGTCCAACTTTGCAAGGACTGTGAGAGCAGAGAGCATCCATAACAAGGCATACTGGGAAGGGAAACAGTATATTGGGGTAGGCCCTGGTGCTCATGGACGCTTTGTTCCAATTACAGAACAGTTTGCAGATAATGCAGATCCAAGTGGTAAAAGAGGATATTCACAGTCATTACCAAATGGAAAAAGAGGATATTCACAGTCGTTACCAAATGGGAAAAGGGGATATTCGCAATCATTACCCAGTCACAGTAAAGGACATGATGAATCTAAAGAAAGGACTATTAATAATCGATCAAATAAGAATTTGATCAAGCTTTCCACAGCAGCTAAGAGCAATAATGATCACCAAAGTAGAGAACTATCGGTAACAGCAGTAACGGAGCAGATCGGAGCAACTCCAGACGGTGTTCCTACTCTGCCGCAAAGAGAAGCCAGAATCCAGACTCTGGAACCAGATACATGGATGCTGGAGGTTGAAAAGTATGGAGATGCCACCAGGAAACGTATTCCACTGTCCAATGTGGATGTCCTGAGAGAGCTCCTCCTGACAGGTCTACGAACCCGGCCTGGTATATCCGACCAGACGTGGCAGCAGCTCAGTCCTGGAGATTGCCTAAGAGATGTCTTTGGGTCTAGTGACTTTATCAAGTCAGCTAGGGAGTCTGGTCTGATGAAACTTGATGATGCGGGATTGAGGTGTACCCATCGTGGACTCAATGTTCTGGATAGCTTGTTGCCAGACTTGACTGATATCCTAAACTCTCACTATGATAGGCAAAGTTGATCATTGCGGCAGGGAAAAAAATACTTAACAAATTTCAGGGGCTACTTTTCAAGCTTGCTTGCATGAAAATAACACTCTTTAATTTGTTTTGCATTGAACTCTATGCAAAATTTGGGGGCTCTTTTACGACTTCCGGGGGCTTTTGGGGGCATTTTGGGGGCTATTTCGCCCCGTTCCCTGTATACTTTTTTCCCTGCATGGAGGACTTCTGTCATGTGAAGAAGCAGTCTATCAAAGCTGAACTCTATTGTCACACATCTTTTGTGTATTTTTTCATGCACATGTACGAAATTCATAATTTTTGTAAAGTAGAACTGACATCAAATGAAGTTGAAAAATCAATATTTCTATGAAGATGTAATTATAATAAAATCTATGTTATATGTATTTCAACTGAAATTGTTGCAGTTATTTTTGTTTATGTACATGTATTTGTAAAGGCAAATTTGATTCTATAGAAGCAAGTTAAATAAAAATACACTATTTAAGTACCGGTATAGAGTAAAATATTGAACAATCTATTAGCTCCATGACCCATCCAAGCTGTTAACATTCTGTTGCTAAACAATCTCTTAACAAGGTTTGCTGATATTGTTCCTTTGGTTTCATTATAATAGAATTTGCCTGTACCTAATGTGCATCTTCTTGATAGAATTATGAACTGGTTCTTTCTTTCTTTGTCTTTCTCGTCATCCAGCTCTCTTCTCTTTTGATGTTTTTATCCTCTCTCTCTCTCTCCCTTCCTTTCCTTCTTTCTTTCTCTGTCCCCCCCCCCCCCCCCCCCCTTTAGACATGCTTCACCTGAATTCGCATTTCTCTTCTCTTCGTTGACTCAGTAGATGAGTACGGTTATAGAATATCCATGCATGTGGTCAAGTTTTACTTCATACTTTTACTCCATATATTCCTCATAAATTTTCTTATCGGAAAGCCAGAAATCAAAAAGAGAAGTTTCAAGTACAGGATAAAATATCAAGTTACTTAGAAATGCCTTATGCCTATAAAAATTTTAAATCGTTCATTTGTTTTGAAGTCAAAATTAATTGAAACGTCCCTTTTCTCAATACTAATGATAAATCTGCCAATTCTTTTTGCAGGGAGCAAGAAATCGTTATGAAATAACATTATATCTTAACGATACATGAATTTTGTCTTGAAACATAGTATTGAAATTGAAAATATCCTGTATAGGCCTAAAAAAAAAAGATGTACATGTATTGCCCTTTAGGTGCCAAAAGATGGGTCAGTCGGTCGGAAATCTTTTACATTTTTTTTTTTACTCCCTCTTTGGGCTGATATTTCTCAGTTTTGAACCCTTTAAAACATTTTTTCCGAAAAAACAGAAGAAAAAAACTTTATTAAAAAGCCGACAGTAGATTTCAAGGTTTTGGGGTCGGTCGCAAAGGGCAATACAACTTTTTTTTTAAGGCCTTGTAAAGAACCCTGTCTTGAGTGATTTGCAGTGGATATTGCTCTCTCCCTGTCTCTCTTTCTCTTTCTCTCTCCTATTTCTTCCTCATCTCTCTGTCTCTCCCTCACTACCCCTCTTCTCTCTCTCTCTCTCTCTCTCTCTCTTTGTTTTTACTCAATTCAACTTCATGTCATGTTTAAATTCCTCTGTGAAACTCGACACATGCTAAAAAATAACGCTGTTAAATCAAAATTTGAAGCTGCAACATATTTCTAGTTTAATAACATGTAGAAAACGCAAAAGAATTACTGAATAATCTTTAAAAATATGACATAACCTCATACCCTTTTTCTCAATGAATTAATAGAGTAGCAATTATAAAAAATATGTTTTCTGATTCATGTGATACATGTACATGCATTAATGAAAAATTATGCTTTAATCAAAATGAAATAAAATGATGAAGTTGCTGTCATCTTTAAAAAAAAAATTCACCCTTTCACGGTTACAATATTGCGATTGGGCCGACATGGGCGCCACTTTAAATCGAGAGTAAACTTTTATTTTATGCCTAATGCAAAGCACACGTGTCGATATGAAGGAGCGCCCAGCACAGGAAGTGACGCAATACACGCGCGTCTTAAAATCATTGATGACGCAATGATTACTCGCAAATTATAATGACGGCCTTAACCGTGAAGGGGTGTTTTACTCCAAGGTCTCAATTTGCTTTATCAAACATGATCTTATACCTTGAGTCGGGCTTAAGTAAATCAGAAGAAAACGGACCATTGGGATTTAAAGGGGAGGGGGGGGGCATGGGCTGGTTATGGCACCCCTCCTAAATCCTAAATGCCTTTGATGCCCGCCCCCCCCCCCCCCCACTCAGTGTTATTTAGGGTACGCATATGCTTGTTCCCTCTTTTTTTAAAGCACCCCCTATCTGAGGACTGCCAACATTTCCGAACCCCCTTTCGCGGGCTTTTCCTGCCTTGGAGACCCCCCTAAATCATGAAAAATGCGCAATGTACCCCCCTAAATTCGGAATAATTTCTCCGGAGTCCAAAGAGATGAGAGAAAAAACGAAAAAACACCCCCTTTTTAAAGAAATCTCCGGGTGTAAAGTTAATACACCCCTTTTTTTTTACAATTCTCGGGCAGGACTTTGTCGCACGAAAAGTACCCCGGCCCTTTACCGGACATTTTGGTAACACGCATGGGGTCCATCCGTCCTCAGAGGGGGGGGGGGGGGGGCCGGGCTTTGATGTTCACATCGAATTTGTTCAACAATATCAATAAAGTAGAAAATAAGACTTTACACAATGAAGTCCATGTGACAAAAGCCCAATCCAGGATTGTTTGGGCCACGTATTGACACTGATATTGGTTGAGCCCCATATGAATTTGACTGCAATACAACAATTTAGAGTGTACACGTACCATTGTCTTATAGATACCAAAGAGTCTGTGCAATATTATTCTTCTAAAAAATAAAAGTGAAACTAACATCGGAAGAATCATGGTAATCTTAGTACGTTGAATTGAATTGAATTGAATTGAATTGATTTATTGTCCGTAACAAATGGAAATTCGTTGCTCACTGGTACATGTGTGTTACAAAATACATGTATGTACTAAATTATACAGATTATAAAACATAATAACATAACATCAATGGCGTTTCATCGAAGAGTACAATGTGAGTACTTGCATAGGAATGGTACCTAGCACTATGAATATAAAGGAGGGATGGCCATTATTATTATTACTTATACCACGCTTTTCCCATAAGGCCCAAAGCGCCTACAGTAAATGACAATTACATGTACCGTACATAAAAAATGAGAACAAATCTTATAACTAAAAACTGCAAAAAAGATATGTTTTCAAGGCCTTCTGAAGGTAGTAACTAATGAGAACTGTTTAATTCTAAGTGGTAGATCATTCCAGTATTTTGAAGCAGATACAGTATGTCTGATCACCGATCACTCTGTCCGATCACTCTGTCATTATGTCCAAGACCTTGGAGGGATAAGTGTGCCAATGTTTAGCCAATGTACTTCTCACAAAAGCTCACCTTACCGGTAATTTATTATATAGTATGACATGGCATTTTGATAACGGGAAACAAAATAAAGCTCTTTGAGTACCGGTATCAAATATAAGTTATACGTACAGATAAGACTCAATTGAATCAATCAAAACAAACGTCTGTTAAGAATGCTCAAACTTTGAATTTCACTCCTCCCACACTAAAATCACATGACTGACATTACACAAACATTAATGTGGCATGATATTCGGCATGCACAATTTAAATATCAGACATGGTAATACCAAAAAGGAAACCTATAGAACTCAACTTATAAAAAAGCACTGGTTACAGTTTTTCTCTTTTGAACATGTACCTGATCACCAAGAAAACCTTTTCAAAAGAACGTTCTTTGTTTGCTTGCAAGAGAGAAAGCATTAACTTTCCTCATTGTTGCCTCCATTGTGAATTTTCAAATGTTTTGTAAAATTACCCTTAATACGAAATCCCTTTTCACAGTACGAGCACCAATAAGGCTTCTCCCCTGTATGTATCCTAACATGCTCGTCTATATGACTTTTTACAAGGAATTTCTTGATACAATACGAACATTTATGTTTACGAAGTCTAGCTCCTGGTCCTGTGTGTGTATTTAAATGTTGATTTAGGTATCTATATCTAGAGAATTTCTTACCACATCGCAAGCATTCAAATTCTTTCTCGTCAGCATGTGTTCTTCTATGCTCCATAAGACTACACTTCGCTGGAAATGTTTTGTTACAAACAAAGCACTTGTAAGATTTTTATCCGGTTTGCGACTGACATTCATGATTCTTGACTCTTGTATGCGATTTCACATGTTTATTTTTCACATAAATTGATGCAAACGTCTTGCCACAAAGTGTACATTGATATGATTTGTGTTCAAGATGTGTCCTGTTGTGAAGAGTTAGACTACACTTGGATGGAAATGAAGTGCTACAATGAGAACATGAATAAGAACTTTCAAAGGTCATTGTTTCTATGTGCGAGTCAAGTTTGGACTTTGTTTTGAAAGCTTTCTTACAATATGGACATTGAGATTGGCTTTGGCTATAAGAATTATCTGTTTGATCTTGTGTTTGTACAGCTAGAATGTTCTTTACTTGGCTTTGTGTTCTGCTATGTACCTTAAGGTCCATCTGTTTAGCAAATGTTCTCGTACAATGAATACATGCATAAGGCTTCTCCCCTGTGCATTTTGTCTTGTGCTTTACAAGGTCAGAATTGGACCCAAAAAAATTACAAAGGGAACAATTATTGAAAGTATCATAGGTCTTTATACCAACATGGGATTGGAGGTGTCTGGTCAGGTGACACTCTTTAGAAAATGAGCGATCACAGAAGAAACAATGAAGTGATATTTTTCCACCAGAGTCAGTTGTAATATGCTTCTTCTGGCAATAAGAACATACAGACCCTGTACTAGGCTCCGTCACCGTACATTCAAACAATTCATTGTCTCTGCCATGATCATCATCTCCACTTTCTCTTGTTTCTTCATTGAAGCATCTTCCGTCTTCTTCATTCTGCCAAGAATCAATTTCTGTAAATGATCAAAAATGCACCATATTTCAAATTCAGACACATATTTACGGTACTTGTTAATATATGACAATCCTAAAAAAAATGAATAAGATTTTTTTTGTCGGGTGGTTGAAATTGATTGGTGTGACCCATTCTCATCCTTGTGCAGCTGTTTAATATGGTACATAATTCTGTAGAGATGTTCCAATAGCACGTATACATTTTCGATCACTCTGATCATTAGAGAATAATATATGTACCGGTGCCTAGAAAGGCAACACAGACAAAATGGTTCCAAAGAACCATGATTAGGCTATAGTGGGGAAACCCAGAAACTATGACATGAAATTATTGAACAAGATGAACAACCATTTATGCAGAAATATTCAA